AATATGATAAAGAAACAAACCTGCAACACCTAACCCAATTGACATGCTGATTAAGAGAGAAGAGAAATTTCTGGCGACACATATTCCACACCTTAAATCTCATAATAAATATAAAACTTGCCTTTACAGATTTATCTGAGGATCCTGTAATAATCTTTTGATTATCAGAGGAAATATCTAGATATCTAACTGCAGAAGTATGAGCTCGAAAAGACATTGATTCGCCCTTTCTAGAAATAAAACAAATTAAGAGAAAATATTAAATATTTAATACAATACAGTACAAATGTTAATTAAAGACATATGTCAAAAAAAGGATGCTTAAAAAATCTTACACATTAGGAACCCATAATCGAACTGTGTTGTCACGGGAAGCAGTTGCAATTAATTCGCCAGTTGGGGAAAATTTTAGGCAAAATATTCCGTCCTTATGCCCAGGAAAACGATAACCTCTGGTTTGAGGCTTGAGATTCCACAACATAAGGCACGAATCAAGAGAACACGAAGCTGTATAAAGGATCAATAAAGATATTTAGTTACCTAGCTGTTTGCCATTCGGATTAAAATCAATGCACGTAACGGTATCTCTATGACCTTTAAAATTAGTTTGCAGAGTTGGATCTCCCTGTTCATATGTTAAGAACTCCAATGTACTCACCATTTCAATTCACGTCAATTACGCATACAAAAGATACCAACAGCAATGATGAATACAAACAAACAATAAGATATTAATTTTCTTAATATACACACAACAAGCATATATAAATATGAAACTATAATTAAATAAAAGTGATTTAATGTTCTTTAGTTCAAATTTATGGGCGGTTTTTGCTTTGAGAGTCATAATATTAAACTCAACTGCATACATTTCATAACAAAATGTATAGCCTTTTAAGTAATTTGAATTGTTAATGAATATAAATATGTATGCTAAATAAATGGATAAAAGAATAATAATACATTATCATATAATATTTTCATTCGTTGTTAGAACATATTATGCTAATTAAATCGAAGGAATGTAGGCAGTCTCCTTTCGCTCTATAGAAGTTGTTTAACTGTGTTTTCACAACTTGTTTATACTGGTATAAAGACCTAGAGGACTAAGTCTATGACTCTTAATGCCCTAGTCTCTTATGTGCTAACCTACAAATGTTATGGGTCTACACTGAATCTACTCAAAAAGTCGATCCACAAAATTTGGGGGTTGGCACAGAAGAAATAAGGTCATATGAACTTATAGACTTGGCACTATAGATAAAAGCATGATAGATGCGGCGCAGACTAGTGCAAGTTATCTAACAGTATACGTATTTAATAATAAATATGGTCCATTAAACAAATGCTTAATCACGAGAATAACTTGGACTCTTTAGCCTTAAGTTAGTCTCCCATCTAGCTCAAGAATCCTGATTTGTAGGGGTGTATTAGCTAGGTGCCATATTTTACTTGAGATAGTGTGGGAAATAATTCTTGACTGGTACAGATAGGGTAGCAGGGGTCGAGGAAAATAACTGAACCAGGAAAGTAGGGGTCGGATCCTACAAGGCAAGTGGGAAACTCTTATGAGACCGATGTACAGAGGATTGCGGGGTGAGGGGGGGCGGAAGCAAACGTTGGGTTTGGAGATAATATGATATCGGCTGTAAAGAGCACACAATGCCACATTAAATAATAAATTGCGATAGTCAAGGAGTGATAAAAGTATGTAGAACTGGTTAAGAGCCCATGACACAAAGAGAGATACCACAAATGGTTAGCAAAAAATTGCTTAAAGGATAGGCTCCAACCGTCTCTTTAATCAGTTTTAGTGTTTATTGTTTATTGACGATGCCGACAACTATGTCGGTGAAACGTCTGGGAATGAACCACGTCCACAGTCCGTCTCTGGAAGTTATCATGCATACTACGGGCTCCAGACTAAAAGTGTTCCTCTTAGTCTTGCTACCAAAATGACAGAATTGTGAAAACAAGGTCAAAAAACTTCTATTCAAATTAACTTTGAAACTAAGATATGAAATATTGCATACCTTAACTTTTTATATAAGAATTTCTATATCTTCAGATATAAATTAAATTAACAAAGCGTTATTAGTTTTTCTTACATTTTCATTGTTAACTTTTTTAAATCGTTAAACAGAAAAACATACATACGTTTTATTGCATATTTATCTAACGAAAGTTTAGTACATTAGTATATTGATACTCTGAATTTATTATTACTATAACGTAATATCTAGGCAAATCTTTTGGAAACTAAAGACGGATATGCTTGGAGCATACAAAATGTTAAATAAAGCCTCTATCTCCTGATGCCTAAGACATTCAAATAGTCATTTATGCATCAAGAATCTACCCCTAGATAAAATATAATTAATTATTATTATTATGAAATGTATTTACCCTACTTTGTTTACTCCTTGAACGAAATAGGGTTAATACATCTCATATAACCGATTTACTTGTAGTATTGAAACCCTACTAATATAAGAATACTAGGTATGAAAAAAGCAAGGAAGCGAGTTATCGTTAAAGACTATTTAATAGATGAATTTTATTTCACGTGATTAACCAGCCAATCCCTAAATATTTTTACTAGCAGAATTTCACATTTAGATAAGATATAAGAGATACGTTAGATACACCTTCTTAAAGCAGATAGTTAATTGATCAATCGTTCCAAAATGGATTTCCGCTAAGAAGAAGATTAAAGATGAAATTTCGGTTTGCCAAGTAACATTTTGTATAAGTCTGATTATTTGCTGAGATTTAATCGAAATATGATTTGAATTTAGATCGGACTAGTAAATTTTTACTTGTAAATTTTAATACGAAATAAGATACTGAAGAAAATAAGTAACAATTGATTTTTGCTATGTTATCAGACAAAATTTAAATAAAAAACATTGCATTAACGTTACAGTTTTGTTAATCTTATGACCAAATAACATAAATGTTTTCCATAATCTAGTACAAAGAGATAACTAAGATCTCAAATTGTAGTAATTAAGGACATAATATAAATGAAGGTCAAGAAATTTGGATGTAAATATGGATATTACAGAAATTATGTAGAAAGAGACAAAATAATTGTGTTTGGATTACATTAAATATCTTTGAAAGATACGAGTAGAAGGGTTTCGTAACATGGCATAACTCAAATGCAATGGCAATTAGCCATCATTAAAGGATCAAAAATATAAATGATTAAGGAGAGAATATAGCTATTTAGACAAAGAAATCTGTCTCATACTCTAATGGGGAATGCAATTAAAGTGGTTTATCAAAGCAAATGGCTAACTTACTATAATTCTATATAGGGCTATCTATTTGAAGATATGTGTGCTTGAAATTAGTCAGCTTTGTTAGGTAAAAGCATTCGTTTATATAAAATATGAGAATATAAACGGAATCGAAACATTTGATGGCAACAGTAGCCACTGCGTTATAAACATAAATCAATGAGACTAATGCATTAATATTTTGCCACTCTCCATGGCTATCAGCACATGATTAACAAAAAAACAAGATTTAAATAGATAAAGACAATAAACCTTGCCATTTTCGAAATTCCCAGAAAAATAATTTATTAAGATGCAGTAGAGCCCTGTGCTGTGCTTGCAATCTATAAGCTAACGTTCTTCTCTCAAAAAGCATTTATC